AATAAACTGCATTCCCTTTAATACATCCTACAGAATAAAACTTAACTGTACATATTATGTTGCAGTCAGTCTTTCAACTAAGGATTTCTAGGACTCACAATCCAACTGACGGTCCTTCTCAATAAGTGCTTTCTTATTTTTCATGGTAAATTAGTCATTTTATACATTACTTCTGAACTAGCATTTTTCAGGGAAATACAAGGTGCCATAAAAGAAATCTAGTAATTACTGTAAAAAACATGTTGTGCTGTGGATAGATGCCAGTAAAGTCCAATTTCAAAACACACACACACACACACACACACACACACAACACTTTAGAAGTTCCACACACATTTAACATGTTTTGTAAGATACAAGTGACAAATTACACATAGGCTCTTAACGTTATTTACTAAACTCATTTTTTTAAAACTCTAAAATGAAAACACATTTGACATTAAGTCAATAAACAATGTAGTAACCTGTTCGTATACTAAATTGTTACTTACAATGGGCACAGATAATCCAACCCACTTGCATTTGAATTTGGGTAATGGTTTTGCCTCAAAATAGACTGATACCAATCTCTTTCTCTGTCTCTAAATATTTAAAAATTAAAACCTAAAAAGATACAAATGGGTGTAATAAGATTATACTTCTACACTTCGAAAAACTCCATTTCAAACACATATCAGCAATCAAGGAAAATACCTGGTGTCAATGTATATTGACAAAGTATTAAATGAGAAAATGACCACTTCATATCTTTAAAAGAATCACCAAATCTGCACTCCCTAACTTCAGAACAGAGCTTTTATTAGTTAAAAGTCTACAGAGTAAGACAGATAGGCAGCTAAAAAGCAAATCAGAAAGTGGGACTTAATTCAGCAAATGACTACTGAAAAATAGAAAAGTTCCTTACAAATGGAAGAATCAATAAGCAGATGCAAATAAAGAAAACCAAAAGCCTAGGGAAAATATCTGGAATTCATATAGGAAATAAATTTAAAATGAAGAAAAAAGGAGTATAGAAAAAGCAAGCAGCTGACCAAGAGTCAGTCTTTCAAACTAGTTTCCAAGCCGGGATCACATTTTATCTTTACTTCCAGGAATACCACAAATTGTTGCCACATGTTTGTTGAATAAGTAGCAGAATGGTCTTGGGATTAATTCACCTATAAAGGAATTATCAGGTACAGTTAACTATAAGTGTTCGAAATGCCCTAAACTGACTTCTTCCCAGATTTAGACATAGACAATTCATTAAACCAGATCACAATCACTGAAAGAGAACCCAAGATATTTATCCATAAGGAGATGAAGTACCAAACCTATTTTGTCACAATCACCAAAATTTGAAAAATAAAGTACAGTACAATGCAAACAGTTCCTGCCTTCTAAGAGCTAACGTTTAAAATGAAATCCACTACAGAAAAGTGATTGAGAATAGTATCATCTCGCACCATACATTAACACTACACAAAATTAAAAACATCAATAGTTTCAAGTAATTTTGCCAAAGAACTTCTAACACTTAATAATCAAACCCACCTGCTATTATTGGTTACTCATGAACAAAAATATAGCGTATCTGCCTAAGTAGCAAAAAACTATGGCTATGTTCAACAGGGGGACTACATTCACCTCCCATCCAATAACCATCTAAGTTCTTTCATGTCAATGCAATCTTCTGACCATTACTAATTTCCTCAACCCAGGTAACTGTGTACAGAGGAGACCCAGGTTTCTGAATATCTGATCACACTGAATAAAGCAGTTCTCCATCCTAAGAGGCAAAAAAGAGGACCAGAAGATGCTGGATATTTTTTAAAAGTAAAGTACTGAGAAGCTAGTTGACAGAGGCAGAAAGCCACATGGCACTCCACTGAGTTTCCTTAGAAGCTTCTAAAAGCACCATCACTGTTGAATATTTGTATCTCAAACAAATTACCCTAAGGAAATTAGAAATTTTACAGTGTGGGAGGAAAAACACAGATGTTTTAATCACCTTAGTGAAATTGGTTTGTCCCTCAATACATGCTTTAGACATGAAATCTCATTTTTTGATAAATTCTGAAAAGTTAATTGTATTTATTTACTTTTTCTTAGCCTCCTACCACAAAGAGCCTGAGATGAGGTAAGGTAAAAACTGAAGGGTAACAGCACTATACAAAAGAAATGGGGCATACTTTTAAAAAGCTGAATATCTATAGGAACACAGTATAGAAATTATGTTAGTAAGACCCTGGAGAACACCAAAAATAACATTTTAAATGCTTACAACAAAAACCCAAAAGAATTTTATAATCACAAGCGATTTTTTAAACCTGTAAACAATCTCAAAAACCCTACTAAACTTTTAAACTCGTAATTTATCAGTAGGAAACACATTTGAACCCCTTATAAAAATAAATTGAAGCAGCAGTTAAGAATTTTAAACTGAGCCAAATAAACTGAAATCTTTACTTGAAAAGGTGAAAATTCTTTTCTTGGAAAAATGTTCTGCATTTCATCATTAACAGAGCATGTGAAAGGTTATATTCATAAAGGCATTCCCTTATTATATGCCATTGGTATCCATTTTAAGATGCTCAGATCAGCACCTTACTTCTACAGCTGACTTTTTTAGGGATTAACTGATGGAAATAAAATATTTTGATGACATAACCATATGGTCATATCCGCAAGCTGGAAATACCACGGCCACCTTGTTTTACACAGAGCTATTGTTAAATACATGTGGAAGTTTCATTAAAAATCTACTCACCACCATCCCTCTCTCTAACTCTGTGAATATGCACATTTTTGGCCTTACTGTGACCTGTGCTGTCACTATATTTGTTTTCAGGACTATCAGATCTCCGCAACATTTTATTTGGTGGTGAAGGATCTGCGGCGTCTCGCATTTTTTCATGTCTGTGATCACCACTACTGGGGTGACTCTTCGATGAATACTTAAGTGCCTGTAAAACATCACCCCCCCAAAAAAAAAGAGAGAAAGAATTGAAACTTTAAACTTAAATAATAAACAAAACCAATTTTATAAAATCTGGTGTATTAACTTCAGTATAATAAACTTTTATCAATAAAATTCAAATTTCTATTTTCAATTCTGCCTCTAAGTTATTCAAACAAGACCTAAATGCCCCAGAGTTATTATAAGGCTCCTCATACAAACCATGTTTAAAAAAGAAAACAAAATACCCTTCACTAAATATACTGTAAATATAAGAAATCAAACACTCAGGTACATTAATTCCATAGTAAGTTTTTCTGCAAATTACGAAGTTTCACCCAAAGTAGAAACTAATGTACTAGTTTCATCTTGTGTAATAGTGTAATCTTGGTTCTAAAACTGATGTGCATAAATAAGCAGAAGCATGTTTCTGCAAACCTACAAAAAAAAAAGAAAGCATCAGGTTCTCCAACTTTCTGAATCAAATCAAACATTTCAGACCTAACTTACCTACTCTTGCAGGTGTGGAAAATAATTTTAAAGTATAAAAATATTGGTCAATACTTCCTATTTCCTAACATAACTTAATGGAACTCCCTCACAATAATGGTTCAGTTTTATTCTAACACACATGTAAGACAACCATAACAAACCAGTCTTTCACAATGTGTAATTAAAATGTTTCAGAGGAGCAGATTCAACAGAGTTTAATCTCTTGACTATCCGAAGGTAATGAACAAACGATTTTCCACTTCAAGAGACTTAGGGCTTTTAACTTGAGCTTTAACAACTCCTGCTAGCAAGTAACAGAACTATCAGCTTAGAAACCCCTTTAAGCGACTAAACGTGCAGAGTAGAAAAGTATTTACTTATATTTACTTCTGTGTCATCTGACAGTTACCAGCCGTTTGAGATTTTTCCCCATCAAAACAGGGCCCAGTTCTACCATAATTTTTAAAAACTTGATATTCAGAAACCGCAGTTAACAAAAAGGAACCTACATACATAGAACCGTCTATATTAGAATGAATTATCCAAGTAGCCAAAGACTTCGATTCTTACAAAGAGGAAAGCACGATCTTTCACCAGTAAGGCAATTCCCTGTGCCAAAACCATTCAAACAGGGAAGAGATAGTTCAGGACACACATACGAAGTGCAAATCAATTAGCCATTTCTTCCTAGACCTTCCTAATTTAAATATTATTAGAGTAACTTTTAGTTCCCAAATACAATAGATAAACATTGCTCAGAAGTCACCTATCCCCTCATCCCATCGATTCCTTCACACTGAAATAATCGAGTCAGGTCCTTCCTGGCTAGGAATATTTTTCCCACAAAAAGGAAAAAAAAAAAAAGAAAAAAAACCAACCCTGAACTTCCTTCAGTCACCTGTCAAAATAAGTCCCTAAACGTTGTTGGAGAGCGCTAATAGAACCAAACACGAATTTTACGGGGACCCGCGGTGCTAGTTTCAGATTTGTTGCACCGAAGGGCCTGTAGCGACTTCTGAAGCCTGCGCTCGAGTAGCAGTTCCTCCCTTCCCCCTCCGTCCCCCCACCCACCCCTCCACCCCGGTCTCGGCTGGTACCTGGTAAGGCTGCGAGTCCCCCCTCCGGTCGTGACAGCTGAAAAACAGGAAGAGAGACGGCGATATGAGACACCTCGGGCGGGGAGGAAGAAAACGGGTGCCCCCCCAGCGCCCCTCCCCGCGGGAGACCTACCAAACGTACCGGCAATGAGCCTCCCCCCCCCATCCCCCCCGCATACACACACGGCTGAAAGGCGGTAACGAGGGCGAAACGCGGCGAACCCGGCCCTCCGCTGCCTCCACACTCACTCAGTCCTCGCCTGCTCGCGCGGCTGCTCCTCCTCCCCAGCCCGATCCGGATCAGGGTTAACAACAAAAATGGCGGCTCGGCCAGCACCAGATAAGGAGGAACAGCCCCCCCCCCCCCTACGCCGCCGCCGCCGCCCCCCGCCCGCGCTGCGGCCCGGCCCGAAACGAAAAGACAATTTACCCATCACTGAGTCTCTGCTGTTTCCTCGCATACATTACCATCAATGCCCGGCCTGTGAGTGTGTGTCGGGGGAGGGGGAGAGCGGCCGCGAGAGGCGGGCGGGCGGGCGCGCAGGCGGCGGGCGGGCGGCAGCACCGGCACCAGGGCCCGGCGCGCCCTCGGCGACTCTCAGCACCTCCCCGTTACTGGCGCCGGCGTTCCCGGGCCATCTCCCTCCGCCGACACCACGCTCACTCTCAGCCCGGGCAGCGGCGCCAACTACACGGCGGCAGCGGCGAACCGGGGGGAGGGGGCAAGAAGACACGTCCGGCTCAGCCCCGCAGAGAGCTACTGCCTTCTCCGCCTTCTCCTCCTCCTGCTCCGCCGCCTCCTCCCCTCCTCCCCCCGTCGCCGCCGCTGCCTGGCCCTTCTCCTCCGCCTCCTGCCGCCGCCGCCGCCGCTGGTGCCGCCGCTGCCGCTCCACCAACTACATCCGGGCAACTCGGACGCCGCGGCCTTCGGAAAACCTCGGCAGTTTCCGCCGCGCCCCTCCTCTCCCACCCTCTGCCTTCCTCCCCGCCCCGCGCGGCTCCGGAACGCCGCCTTCGGCAAACCTCGGCCCGCCCCGGCCTTCCTCTTCCTCTGAGGCCTGGCTCGCCTCCTCGCTACCCGTCAGGTCTTTCCGGTTGCCGCTTCTTGTCCTCAAGCGCAAGTCTGGCCGCTGCCGTTCCAGTTTAGGGATAGTCCCGCTCGGGGGCCCTCTCGAGGCTGGTCCCGGGGGCCCCGGGATGCGCGGGGAGGGAGCCGCCTTCGGGAGGAGGACGCTGGGGCGTGAGAGAAGCCATCGCGGACTAAATAAAGGAGGCTGCGGCTGCTGCGCGTGCGCCCAGAGGCGCGGGGGTGGGCGGGTGCCCTTGGGTGAGCTCTCCGGCCGCCGGCCCCCGCCCCTTCGGGCTCCGGCGAGGTGGTCGGAACCCCCCACCCCCCACTCCCCGGTTGGGCGGCGGGCGGATGGTTACCAAGGAGCTTCCTCGGTTGGCAGCGAACGCAGCCGCCCTCAGGGAGGTGGGGAGCGTGCCGCTGCTCCCTGTGGCCCGCTCCCGGTAGCCGGAACCCGGTCACCCGCCCCAGACCGGACGCCGAGCGCGCGGCCGGCCTTCGGTGGGCAGGGGCTGCTCGGAGCTCTCGCGTCGACGCGTTAGAAGTAAGTGTCACCCCCAGAGGCGTGCAGGAAAGCGATCTTGCCGAGCGAGGAAAGACGCAGGCGTTACGGGGTGTCGTGCAGAATGCGCCCGAGCGGCTGTAAGGCGAAGGTCCCCGGTTTGCGGAGGGAGCGCGGCTCGGGGCAGTGAATTAAAACCGAAACTGATTGGAGCGGAATGGGTTACTGGCGAAAACGTTGAACCGCCTCATCCTTGCTGAATGTTTTCCGTCCCCGGCTGTGTCCTCCCCACCCTCTCCTTCATTTCCCATTTTTCTTTTCTAGTTCCTCTTCCTCCTTGAAGTCCTTTGGTGAAAGAAAACTCTTCCGCACGTTCTGCACGTGAATGAAGGTGTAGGTTGTGCTGAATGAAGCTACAACGCGTTGAATTTTCTGTACCGCTGCCGGCACAATACCAACTTTGGCGCATTGGGAGGGGAAAAGTCAAATGCACCCCCACCCCATTAAGCTTGGGGTGGTTAGTGGTTGATATTCAGGTGGGGTTTCCTCCCCTCTCGAAATTCCTTATAAGGCAGCATTAATTTAATAAATAGATTGTAATAACATAATTATATACTTATTTGCGTAAAAGAAAAAGGTAAAACAGGAAACCAGAGAAACAAGACCCCCACCGGAAACCAGTATCCAAAAGTAGCTGACTTGGTTTCCAACAATTACCCTCATTGCTGGGCGTAATAGAGGGAATGATGCGGGGAAAAGGCCCTGAAATCACAACTGATTGGGGAAAAAAAAAATGCTTATCTACCCTGTTTGTCAAATCCACCTGCCAAGTGTTGAGATTATTGCTTTTTGTGACGGCCAGTAAAAGCTGAATGCCCCTGTGAGCTATTGGTAACAACAAAAAAAAAAACCCTGCTAGTGACTGAAATGAGTGAAAAAATTAAAAACCTAGAGTCTTACGTGCAACTTCTAACACTTTTGTAACAAATACACTGAAGACAGATTAGCAGAGTACGCACAAATGTAAAAATCTTAGGCAGAATCTTTTTGAAAACTGGAAGCAAAAATTGTTCATTTCTTGATGATAATCGTGTGCTGTAACTTTGACATATACCATTTGATCAAAAGCAGCGAACTGGGGGACACTGTACAAGGCAATGTACAATATTCATTATTCATAGATTCCATATTTGCAAATTTGCCTACTCACTAAAATTTGTAACCACCAAATCTGTGCATAGCATTCACAGACATGCACAGTGGCAAAAAATTTAACATTCCCAGCTGAGTGTAACAAGACAGCCCTGCCTTATTATTTCAGCTCTCATATTGTAAATAAATGTACTTTTCATAATATATATGCTTTTGTGGTTTTTGCACTTTTCATGCTTTTTATTGGTTTTTCTGTCTTAAATGCCCCTCCAAGCATAGTGCTAAATTGCTGTTGAGTACCCCTAAGCAAAAAATGTGATGTGCCTTGGGAGAAAACACCGTCCTCAATAAACTTTCAGGCTTATTATTTGTGCTCTTGACCATGATGAGTTCAGTGTTAAGGAATCAACAATATAAGATTTTTAAATAAAAACTGATGAAAATGTTGTGACCAGAGTCCCTCCAGAACCTAACCCTCTTTTCCCCTAGGAACAGATCAGTGTTCACAGTGACTTCATAGAACTACCCCCTACAATAAAAGTCAGTTATTTACTTAAAGGTACATCTAAATGTTATACCCATTTTTTTAAAAAAACTCATTGCCTATTTTTAGATTCCATTATCCGTTGTTATAAATCCTTTGTGAATACCTTCAATCCTTTCCTTCTCTCCTCCATTTTATCTTTCTAATCCACAATCCTGGTTAATTCACTGTATGTTTGCAGCAGAGCAGTTGAACTTGGCTGGAGAAAAACAACCATACCAATTCTGGATTGAGCTCCTTGTGTTCCCTCCACCCCCCCTTAAACTAATTTCTGTAATACATTTACCCCTGCTCTCTTAAACAGCTGTTTGACCTCTTAATCCCACTCCTCCTGAGTAAGTCCTTGCTTCAAATCTCTCCAGGGAAATAGAAAAAAAAAAAAAAATCAGAAATCAGTAACAGCTGGCTGCTACTCACCATTGCATCTACCAACCTTCCTATATCTGAATACACTGCTATACTGCTGCTACTATGGATAGACTGTCAAAATTCCTAAGATCAAACTTGCCACATTTGCCTTGAATTCTATTTCTCTCTTGGAATTGTCTACTTTCCAATTTTTTCCCTCTCAACTAGATCACTTGTGTCAACTTAAAAACATGTTTTAATAGCTACCATCATTTAAAAAAAAACGGGCCTCCTGGGTGGTTCACACTATTTCACTTTTTTAAGTCTCTGCTTAAATCTCACCTTAACAGAAAGGTCTTTCCTCTGAGAACTCTGTTTATGCCCCCCCATCCTGCTATTTTTACTATTTGCCATATAATATATATTTTCTTTATTGGTTGTCTCCCACTATAATGCTATCTCTGTGGCATCAGAAAAATATGATTGTTGGATGAAAGGATATTTACCTACAGAATTACAAAGAAAATAGCAAGGGACACCTGCATGGCTCGGTTGAGCATCTGACTCTTATGGGCTCAGGTCATGATCTCACGATCATGAAATCAAGCCCCCATATTGGGTCTCCCTGCTGACAGCATGGAGCCTGCTTGGGAATCTCCCTTTCTGCCCCTCCCTGCTCGTGCTCACTCTTTCTCAAAATAAACATTTCAAAATATGTATAGTAATTCTTAAGAGGAAAAGACGTGGTTCTGATATCCAGTACTGCTGTCACAAACAAAATAGAGAAAAGCTGGCTTATTCCTAATACAGATAAAATATTGTATTAGATAATGTTTTTAAATTTACATAAATTTACATATGTATAGCAAATGTTAGACTATTTACATTCTTGAGAAATTGGAAGTTTGTACATGCACAAAAGACCCATATTTCAACCAACAGATTAACACATCTCAACCAACAGAGAGGAAAAACTACTAGCCCATAGGCTGTAGGTGACCATGATTTTAATGTGATCCTATTCATGGAGAAGAGTCAAAAAGTGAAGTCCTCAAACCTCTAGTTGTAAAAGTGACTTAAAAAGTTTTTGCTAAAATGTCTTTTTTTTTAATTTTTTTAATGTTTTATTTATTTCTGAGAGAGAGAGAGACAGCATGAGCAGGGGAGGGTCAGAGAGAGAAGGAGACACAGACCAAATCAGGCTCCAGGCTCTGAGCTGGCATTCAGCACAGAGCCCGACGTGGGGCTCAAACCCACAAACCGTGAGATCATGACCTAAGCGAAAGTCGGACGCTTAACCGACTAAGCCACCCAGGCTCCCCTAAAATGTCTTTTTTAGTTTTGTTTTTTTTGAAGGGGGGGTAGGTGTTTATAAGAGAGAGAGAGAGAGAGAGCAGGGAGAGGGAAAGAATCTTAAGCAGGCTCTATTCAGAGCACAGAGCCTGACACAGGGCTCAATCTCACAACTGTGAGACCATGACCTGAGCCAAAATCAACAGTCAGATGCTCAACCAACTGAGCCACCCAGGTGCCCCAGTTTTGCTAGAATTTCTAAAGGATCACAAAATAAGAATGTATTCCTTGAAATTTTTACCTACTTTTTTCTCTGTCCTTGCCTTCCTCCCATGTAGCATAGTATAGTGGTTAAAAGAATGGCTTTTGGGATCAGAATGACATAATGTAGAGCTCTGGCTACATTACTGACTGACTAGCAGTGTGATGTCAGGAAATTACTAAAATTGCAGTGATTCTGCTTCCTTTTCTCTAAATTGGCTTGATAGGATATAGCACTGTTTGTCAGAAGTAAATGAAATGACAAATATTTAAGAAACACGTGGCACATACATGCCCTACTGCTGGTGGTTATTCATTCACTCAAAAAAAAAATTATTGACCTGTGTATCATGTCTTGGGAACACACTATTAAACAAATTAACTTGGTTTGTTCTCTTACAGAGTTTATATTTTAATTTTTTTAATGTTTTATTTTATTTTATTTTTTTTTAATTTATTCCTGAGAGAGAGAGAGAGGCAGCGTGAGCAGGGGAGGGTCAGAGAGAGAGAGGGAGATAACAGAATCTGAAGCAGGCTCCAGGCTCTGAGCTAGCTGTCAGCACAGAACCGGACGCGGGGCTCGAACCCACGAATGTGACATCATGACCTTAGCCGAGGCCAGAGACTTAACCAACTGAGCCACCCAGGCACCCCCAGAGTTTATATTTTAACTGCAGTATGTAACTGAAAGGAAACCATTTGAGTTCTCAGAGTTGTGATGTAAGGCTTTCTTTCAACTATGTGGAAAAATAGGAAAGCTGCAACCAAAATTACTCTTTAGAAAAGGGGAGTAAAGGGGCACCAGGGTGGCTTAGACCGTTAAACGTCCGACTTTCGCTTTGTTCATGATCTCGTGGTTCGTGGGTTCGAGACCCGCGTCGGGCTCTGTGCTGACTGCCAGCTCAGAGCCTGGAGCCTATTTCCGAGTCTGTATCTCCCTCTCTCTCTGACCCTCCCCTGCTCACGCTGTCTCTGTCTCTCCTAGAAATAAAAAAAATATTAAAAAAAGAAAAGAAGGAAAAGGGGAGTAAAAATCTCTAGGACAGCACCGTATTAGTAAATGATACATCTTTTTAAGCAGAGATAATAGTGTAAATAGTTAACAGATCCAGAGGTCCTTATTTACTCATGTAGAGGCAGTAGACATAAGGTCTGAATTTACAAACTGGCCACTTTTAAAGTCCTTCGTGATAGATGGCAAAGTGCAGCCACAACTGAGAACTGCACCCTACACCCTTTGTCTCTGTCTGGCAAAACTACAGCCTGAATTACACCAAACCTTCACTTTCTCAGTGGACACTGAGAAAGTCTGTTGGAAAATACAGTAGTCTAATTCCACTAAAATCTCATGATCATCAAAATCAAATCAACCCTAAGTACATCTAGGCAATCTTATATTTATATCTCCTCAACTTTTTCACCACGTGAACAAGGTTTTCAAACTTCCACTCTCCTCAAATCTGCCCCCCCCCTTTACTACCTCCCCTTCACATCACCACTTTCCTCCCAAACTGAAGCCATCAAATAGAAATTTCATCCTTCCAATTTGCACATTTCCCTACACTCATCCCCTCTATTTAGTCAACAATGTACTGAGTACCCACTGTGTGCTGGGGATACATCAATGGGCCATACAGAGAAAAATCTTCACTTCCCCTTCACCAGCCTACATATTAGTGGGGAAAGACATGAATAAAATAAATAAGTGGTATGGTAATTTAGCAAGTAGTAAGTATGGAGAAGAATGGAAGGTTATAAGCCGGACTTGATTAAGAAGTAATCAATAGAGTAGTCATGAGTAGCTGAAATTTGAGCAAAAACTTGAAGGTGGTGAGAGAGCAAGCTGATGGCGGTTTGGAGAGGAGTATTCCCGGCAAGAGGAACAGCAAGAGCAAATGTCTAGAGGCAGGTGTCTGATGTGTAAGAACAATAAAGAAACGGGGGGGGGGGGGGGGGGGGAGTAGAATGTGACTACTTCTTTCTCCTTCTCTGACAGCTCCTCTCACTCCTTTTTGCAGAGGGGAAAATTTTTAGTAAATGAGGTCGAATAGGTTAAAGAAGGAGGATTAAGGAGCAGATCATGAAGGATTGAATAGGCCTTTGTAAGAAGGTTGCCTTTTATTCTGAGTGAGCTGGGAAGCCATTGGAGAGTTAAAAGCAGAAAAGTAATGTTAGCTACTGTGTTAAGAATAGTCTATATGGCAAGGAAGGAGGCAGAGAAACTAGCTAGGATGCTACTGCATTGTCCTAATGTCCCTGTGCTGACAGCTCAGAGCCTGGAGCCTGCTTCAGATTCTGTGTCTCCCTCTCTGCGTCTCCCCAGCTTGTGCTCTCTCTCAATAATAAACAAATAAACTTTAAAAATGTATTATGAAAAAAGAATTACCCTCTTCAAAATACCAACATCACGTTGAAAAATAGTTTTGGGCGCCTGGTTGGCTCAGTTGGTAGAGCATGCAACTCTTGATCTTGGTGTTACAAGTTCAAGGCTCACATTGGGCACAGAGATGGAAGGATGGAAGGAAGGAAGAAATGGAAGGACTATTCTTGAAAAATAGTCCTAAGGTCACAAATGACTTCTATGTACCAGTTCTCACTGAACATTTTCCAATCTTTTTCCTAATTGATCTTAGAATAATAATGTGGCATTAATACCTACTCTTTGCATTACATTTCTCCCTTGGCTTCTATAACACATCACATTCTTTGGTTTTTTTCCTACTTCTCTGACAGCCCCTCTCATTCCTTTTTGCAAATT